ACCTTTCGTAACGTAAAGGATTTTTTCTTCTTGATCCATGCACGTATGCATACACACATGCATATTTACACACACACAAACACACACACACACACACACACATACACACATGTACACATACGCACTCACACATACACACACACACATGTACACACACATGTACACACACACGCACACGCATGCACCGGCGGTGTAAATCTGCTGACGTGTCCTGTGTTGTCTGTGTGTTTGCGTTTCCTCCCGCCCTGCCTGCCGACAGTTTCCAGCCACGCCCGAGGCCGGTATCATGCGCCTGGGCCATGCCTCTGACACCATTGCACTCTGCTATCAAGAACGCTTGATTACACTGGCCGAGAAAGTTCGCCTTTCTGGGGTAAGACTTGTATCGCAATTTAGTGATACATTTAGAATGAATCAGTCGGGTAAGTGAACTGCCTGAAAAGAGAAAAAATGCCATTCCCACCAGAACTCGAACCCGGGACCTAGCTTGTCATGAGCAATGCTCTAACCATCTGAGCTATGGGACCAGGCCGAAACTAGAAGGTGCTGATAATTTGTTTACTCCAAAGGCAGTTCACAACACGAAACTTGTCAGAGCCTTCTAGGTTTGGCTTGTCCTATAGCTAAGATGGCTAGAGCGGGGATGAATTTATCCTGTATCGCATCGCAGTTTGCGATGCAAAATCGATCTGCTGCTACTCAAAAGTCACCATGACTCGCAGAAAACTGCGATACATACAGACTGTCCATGCCTAGCCTGCGCTCAGTGTCAAGTAACATGCATACAGTGCAGTGCATGTGGTGCAGGCACTCTCAATCTGCGTGCACATGTATGATTCAGTCTTTTTTTTGTGTGCAAAACGAGAGAGCTTGGAAGCTCAGGGCCCTACGCTATGCTTTTTGGCCTTGATGACCTAGACAAAAAAAGCATACGGATGTTATAAATTCGTCTCTTTCCCTCAAAGCCAGTTAATATGTTATAAATTCATATAAATTTTTCCTTTTTTTTAAAGACATAACCTGGGATTCAAACCCGCACTATCGCCCTGCATGCATCCCCCGATACACTTCGCATACAAACTAATTCTTCCAAGTTGCTTCACGTTATGATCTTGCATTTGAAAGCCCTATTTGAATATGCATTGTGGCCAGCCGTCTTTGATAGCACGGTACGGTACGGGACAGGTACGGGACAGGTACGGGACAGGTACGGTCGAGGGTAATACGACACCGTCTACCGCCTTGATGATCTAGGCAAAAAAAGGCATAGAGATGTTACGAGAGAGCTTGGAAGCTCAGAGCCCTACGCTATGCTTTGTTGCTTGCTCATCATGCATGTAACGTGTCAAAGCTGTGTGGACCCTGGCTAGCGCCAAACGGTACTGAAGTAACGTCTGTTGCACAGCTACGGGATTAATATTTGGTGTTTATTATATATATATATATTTTTTTTTATTGGGTCACGCCTGGCGCTATCCCGTATTTGTTCCGTACCATCAAAGACAGCTGGCCACAAACAGCTAGCCACAATATTTTGTTTCTTTGTGCCTTCGGCATGCCTGGCGCTATCCCGTACCTGTCTCGTTTCTGCCGATCACGGGCGTTCTGGAGTCGACGGGATGTCTGTCCTGCCGTTTCCTGTGACCGGCGCTGACTCTGCCAATCACGGGCGTTCTGGAGTCAACGGGATGTCTGTCCTGCCGTTTCCTGTGACCGGCGCTGACTCTGCCGATTACGAATGTTCTGGAGTCGACGGGATCTATCTTCCGACGTTTCCTGTGAGCGGCGCTGACTCGCCCGTTCAAGATTATTTTGGAGACGACGGGATCTCTCTTCGAAAGTATGTTTTTGCTGACGCATCATATCACCTATTCGACCACTAACGTCCATTCTAATTGCATTTACTCGTCTCCCTACTTCGTATTTCTTTCCAGAAAATCTCCCTATACAGCAGGGAGTCGTTTACATAATACGAATCCCTGCTGTACATCTATATACGGTATAATTATTATGCTATCGGCCTACATGCGATTCCCGGGTTGGTCGACAGGCGGCCCAGCGAGCCTGCTAGAGGGATCTCGGCCTCGCACACAAATCCACACAACATGCTACTGCACTATCGGCCTGAATGCATTCCTCTGATACACTTCGCATACTCATTCGCTTGATGGTACCGTACTCTTGATGGTACGGGACAGGTACGGGATAGCGCCAGGCATGCCGATGGTATAAACAAACAAAAATATTGTGGCCAGCTGTCTTTGCTGGTACGGTTAAGTACGGGACAGATACGGGATAGCGCCAGGCGTGACACAAACAAACAAACAAACACCAAATTAAAGCTGTGTGGACCCTGGCTAGCGCCAGACGTTACTGAAGTAACGTCTTCTGCATAGCTACGGGAATAAATTTTTCAATTATCCTATTTTTTTAGCATAACCTGGGATTAGAACCCGCACTATCGCCCTACATGCATTCCCCCATACACTTCGCATTCATACTCATTCTACCAAGTTGCTTCACGTTATGATCTTGCGTTTGAAAGCCCTATTTGAATATTGCGGCCAGCTGTATGTGGCCAGCTGTGTTTGATGGTACGGTACAGTACGGGACAGATACGGGATAGCGCCAGGCGTGACACAAACACACAAACACCAAATTAAAGCTGTGTGGACCCTGGCTAGCGCCAGACGTTACTGAAGTAACGTCTTCTGCATAGCTACGGGAATAATGGGCTTTCAGGCATCATTCTCAAGAAGGACTATGTGGTAAACACCCAGCCTTCAAAGAAAAATGCTAATCAAAATCAAAGGCTGCTACACAATTGTGATTTTGTATAGCAGAAACTGCTATGCAAAAATATAGCAATACATTCATCCCGGCGCTAGAGCATTTCCCATGACAAGCAAGGTCCCGGGTTTTGCCGAGTCCTGGTGAGGTTGGCATTTTTTCTTCTTTTTTCATGCAGTTCACTTCCCCGACTGATCCTTCGAATTTTGAAGTTCTCCCAATCCTTTACAACTTAGAATGCAGAAAAATATGAATCACCTACATAATTCTTGAACACCAGTATATTATGCAGATCTTGGGTTGAAAACCAGGCATTTCCTTATAACAATGTCCATTTCTGGTGGCAAGTATCCCGTTTGACCGGGTCACCTGAAATACTGGTGCCACGACACTGACCTGGGCCCTGACCATCACTATCCTTTGCTGCATGTAATACTGTCAGGTTCCAGAGAACTGGGGAGTGAGCCTCCTAGCCTTAGGCCATCCTTATTTCCATGCACTATGCCTATGGCAGGCGGGTAGCACCGTCGTTGGAGGTGGTTCGGCCCGGAGCTTCTCCCGCGGGGAAAAAATTGAAAAATAGGGTGCAAAATCCTGCATTCCGGCCCGATCTGGGCACTTTCAAATTTTGGCATTGTGTTAAAAAAAAGAAAAGAAAAAAGGTCCGGCCAAAGCCAGACCGGCCGGACCAGCTGCTACACTCCTGTATGGTCTGTGTATAGTCGAGTCATTGTGGATGTGTTGAGTCATTGTGGATTTATTGAGTCATTGTGTATAATTATTAAGGTATGCTGTGCTTGGTGAAATCCCTGCCTGTTCGTTCTCCGGCGCTCCGTTCGTCGCCACCCCACAACATTGTAACTTTGCTTATGTTCTTGCTCGCTGTTCAGATGCGTGGCACGAGTGACCTGGACAGGCATCAGCTGCTCGTTGACATGATCAACGCCAGCCACCCGAATGCCATCGGTTTCAAGCGCTTCGTGCACGTCATCTGGTGCAAGGGCGGGCCCTATCGCCGCTTCTCGTCCGCGCTCAAGCGGAAAGCCATGCAGAGTGGCCTCAAGGGTCTCCAGAACTGGGGAAACTTTGCTCCGGATTGACCGCAATGCGTATGGTTCCACTTGCAGTGTCATGTATACTAGTGGGATCACAATTGACCGTACCCGCTGACCCAGTATGAGTAAGTGCAATGTCCCGACTCCTATATGGGAGCACGGCAGAGAGATCACCGCGTGACCTGCAGTCATGTGTCGGTCAGACGCACATGGCGGGAAGGAAACCAAAATAATGCCCCAAACACGGCGTGATGGACTCGTCGTGTCTGGGGAAAAAGAGCTCCCCCCCCCCCCCGGAGTATGCAGGTCTTGTACATTCTCAATCACTTAATCATCATCATCATTAGATGCTTTCTTTTCTGATGGCTATCATCAAAACTAGACTATATCTCGGGCGCATATACATGTATTATGCATTGTCACTTGTCCGATCCTCTTTCACCCCGTTCTATCGGTATCCATGGTAACCACTTGAACGCCTTTCAGGGCTTACCTATTACATACCACATGCCTGTACGTGTGGTGCTGCAGTGCGCAGAATCGCAGATTGTGCAACTGCTGATGGACGGTTGTGACGACGCGCGTTTGGCATTTCGTCTTGTCAATGCTATAACCAGCTCCACCAGTGCATTGGAGTGATTGGACGGATGCACGTCTAGCTGAGTCCATGCAGTGCACTTTTGTATACAGTCAGGGTCTTTCGTTCACAAACGATTACAATATAAAGCTGAGACCGAGTCGCGGCGGAGATTTACTCGTATGTGGAGCCGCACACCAATGGGAGATTTTTCATTTTATTTATATTTACTATCCCTAGTGAGAAACATGTGGAGACCAATGATGATAATACTCTTGATGCTACCTGACAGCAATGCCTGCAAGTAGACTTTGATGGTTGGATAACTGCGAATCACGCATCCATCGGTATAATGCTCACCGCTTGACGCCGCAGAGCTCCAGAAACCCCACAACTGATCCCCTTGCTGTGACCAACAATAGCATGCACCGATCACTGCACCCGTTAACCTTGTCTAGATGTTCTAGACATCACTCTATAATTATAGTCATGTGTTTTTTCCAAATTTCCAACATTCCCTGTACTATCCTGAAGAGAAGGGAAAGAAAACGTTTGATAGAAGGAAGCGTCTACTTGATTGTGTGGATTTTCGTCTTTGCTTGCGAAGGTATAGGTTGCGAAACTATCAAGACGAAATATTGGGAATAGTTTAATAAATGTTCTAGTAGTTAAACAGTTTGTGGAGACAGAAATGAAATTAACGCAATAAGTAAAACAATTCTTCAGAATTCCCAAAAAAGTAAAACAAGTTGAGAATTTCAAAACACACACACACACCATTTGCACAGGTTAGATTTCCTTGAACGCTTCTGTTGCCATCTCTTCAGAAGGAATTTACTGGCAAAGGTAGTTCAACCTGGTAAATGTAACTAGCATCCAGTTAGGCTGGACTGTCAGCGTACGCTTCTCCACGTTGCAATGGCATTGCACGGCAGGAAACACTGCCGGACAATGTCTTCGCATGAGCTACGCACTTATATGTGCTGTTTGGAAGGAAGATGGAACAGCGGTATGGAGGGAAATGATAATAAAAAAAAACGAGCAAACTTTTAAAAGCAAAACCCAGAGCGGCAGAGGCAGGAGATGCATTTCACGAGTGGTAAAAAATTATACTTGAACACACCAATAGGACCTAAATGCAGTACATGGGGTGTGCGCACCAGCTTTGGTCGGTTGTACTGAACTCAGAAGTACAGGAAAACCTGCCAAGGCGACCACTCGGATAAGGCGACCACCTGTCCTAGAAGACCACTGAAAACCAGCACCAATGAATGCTAATTCCAGTCAAGTGACCCTGGATAAGAAGGCCACCTGGTTACAGAGACCGCATTTTGAAGGTCCCTTGAGCGGTCGTCTTAGACAGGTTTCGCCGTATACCCTATACAATGCAGCGCGTGTACGATTAGCACGCGACTGACATCGGCTCGGGCCATCAGCACCGGCGCATGCACTCATACTTCTCGGACCATACGATACCTATCCTCTTCGGCAGTTTCTGCCTGATCTCCAAGGCTATGCGCTGGTTCAGCCGGTATTTTGTATTCCACATCGCCAGCAGGAACTGCTGGAAGCCTTCTTCACCCAGGGGTGTCTTGCACTCTTGAAGGAGCAGCTCCCTGCACGCGATGGAGTTTTTCTGAAATAGGAAGAAGCAGAAACGAAGTCACAAGCACATTGGCACCCAGGTCCGCTTCAGGGTCAAACAATCACCACCCCACCCCAGATCCGGTTCAGGGCCAAACTATCACCATCCCACTCCAGTTCAGGGTCGAGAAATCACTACCCCACTCCAGATCCGGTTCAGGGCTAAACAATCACTACCCCACTCCAGGTCCAGTTCAGGGTCAAACAATCACCACCCCACCCCAGGTCCAGTTCAGGGTCAAACAATCACTACCCCCACTCCAGGTCCTGGTTCAGGGCCAAACAATCACTAGGGCCCCACTCCAGGTCCTGGTTCTCGGCCAAACAATCACTGCCCCACCCCAGATCCAGTTCAGGGCTAAAACAATCACTACCCCAGATCCGGTTCAGGGCCAAACAATCACTGCCCCACTCTAGGTCCAGTTCTGGGCCAAACAATCACTAGCCCAACCCAGGTAGTGTCGAGGAACAAACATGAACTTTACCTCAGCACTAATCTTCATCATCTGTTTCATAAAGTTGTCTGGCGAGGTCCTTTGCATCGCAGAGCCGAAGGTCATTGCCGGATGTCTCCAGCTGCGCAGCAACGTGAACAAAGCACAAGAAAACACATACACTCCAGCGTCATGTCACTGACCAGGAACTCCACGGTGGTCCGGGCAGGAAGTCCACGGTGGCCCGGGGCAGGAACTCCACGGTGGCCCGGGCAGGAACTCCACGGTGGCTTGGGCAGGAAGTCCACAGTGGCTTGGGCAGGAACTCCAGGGTGGCCCGGGCAGGAACTCTAGGGTGGCCCGGGCAGGAACTCCATGGTGGCCCGGCCAGGAACTCCACGGTGGCCCGGGCAGGAACTCCACGGTGGCCCGGGCAGGAACTCTACGGTGGCCCGGGCAGGAACTCTACGGTGGCCCGGGCAGGAACTCCATGGTGGGCCGGCCAGGAACTCCACGGTGGCCCGGGCAGGAACTCCACGGTGGCCCGGCCAGGAACTTGAGACCATTGAGAATTTGAGACCATTGGTCGCTTCAGCTGCTTTCGCCTCGCTTCCACTGCTTCCACTGCCATCGCTATGTGCATCCCTGTGCGTGTTTGCCGGCGTTTGCACCATGATGGTTTGTGGCTATCTTGTAAAAAAATCCACTGGAGGCCATGTTTTCAGCATTCCAAGGAATGCCACCACTGCCAACGATCAAGGCGCAGATGCAGCTCCTAAGGTGGTGGGAGGTGAGTAGACCACACCCAGCACTGAGTGGTCTAAGAGCAAGAGTACCAAACCTAACCGTGGCATTAATCACTGCACAACACCTCATGTTCAGTGTAGCATACTGTGATTCCGGTAGGGAAACCAGGTGCCTCAATTCGGATCACATCTAAAAGGTACTGGAGTACACACTGCGTGTGGAGAGAATGCTTATCACTGAAACTCTTAGTCATACCTGACCTACATTTTAAAACCCATCAGGTCAGTGGCACCGAACGTTTCATACACCTAAAAATGTTCAAAGCTAAGATTACGGCAGCAATGTACAGTTGCGTTCGCTGAAATCAGACCCGAAGTGCAAAACTGGCACGCTGGACCAGCTCCGATTATATCACCGTACTTGCACATGTGTACTTCCAGCCGCATTCATACCTCTTCCAGGGCCGTGCAGGGCCGTGAAAGTTGAGGGCGTCAGGTATGCACTATAGGTCGGATTTCACCAAGCGCAATCGTACAGTCATGCACAAGTCATACAGTACTGAAGTCCGTGCATGTAATAGACAACATTGTAATATACTCTACTGCTAATTGCTTACCCAGTTGAATGCGTCAAACTGTGCTTTTACAAGAGCACTCTTGCCCTCTGAGTAAGGCTCTTCGTCATCTTCTTCGTGCTGATTTCGCTTTCGCTGCTTCTGTTGCTGCTCACCCGTCGATGCCGAATGGCTCACTTCCGGGGCAGAGTTCTGTGTACTTGCCGCTGGAGCCGTCGCCGGCTTGTTTGGGTCTCTGCGTGCGGTATCCACACCAGCTGCCCGTGTCTGGAGTCCGTGTGCCGTAGAAGTAGCGGTAGCAGCAGTACGTGGGGCAGGCGGAGACTGGTTCCTCGATGCAGTGTGGCTGTGTGGTGCTCCCGTACGATCGGAGCGTTCAGACGTGTGAGACCGAGAAGAGGCGCTTCCCGGTGCAGTGCTGCTGCTGCCAGCATACGATGCAGCACTGGGGGATTGGTCTCGAGTCTGCGCCCCATCAACTCCGTCACCCCCCATCTCCTGCTGTCCACTATTATGGCTAGGTTGGGAGCCACCGCTCGAACTAGCTCTGCTGCTGCTGCTGGGGGCACTAGCCCCGCTCTCATTATACCCGCCGTCGCACAGATCCTGTGAATCGGTCGTGTGCCCCGTTGACGACTCGTGCAGATCAGCTTTCCATGATTGGGATTGTTCCCGTGACTGAAATTGGCTTTCGGAAGAGGATTGCAGCGGTGAGCGAACACCGGAGGAGGTCCAACCCGGAGCGGACGCATCGTGGCACTGCTGTGCACTTACATGGTCCGGATCCACCGCTGGATTCATGCAAGGCAGTGGGTGAGCAATGGCTGCCTTCTCTCTCGCAATCGTGTCATTTCTGGGAGACTGGACGCAGGTAGGGAGTTCACAAACATGAAAACGACACACACACACAAAGATGAACATCGAGAGAACAAAATTGTACAACAAAAAAAGGCATTCCCTATTACGTACAGAGCCCAAGAGTCCTGCGGGTAGAGTCGTGAATCTCAGAGTAGCGTTATGTCCTGATAGACCGGACTGCTAGCACAGTTGAAGGTGGTCATGTGCAAGAGAAACCCCTGGTTTCAGCCACCATGGCACCAAACACTTGCAACTGGGCCGAGGCGGAAGCCGTTTTTTTTTATTTGCCCGGCCAAACCATAGCAATTCCAGCATGATACGGGTAGAGGCGGCGACGGCGTATGACCACCTCGACAGTAATCACGTGAGGATGGATATGGTCGGACCAACGAAACGCGTTGCACCGTGACTGACAAACAAACGTGGGATTGAGCGTTTATGGTCCGTACATGCAGGCGGACTCTCAGTCGAAGCAGCATGGCAGGCCGCTCACATTCATCACACTCCGTAACGAAGAAAACATCGTAATTCCCAACATGTACTGTTGCCAACATGAACATAGTGCTAATACACTAACATACTCCCTATAACATCCTGTAGGGGCGGGGGGGGGGGGGGGAGAGGGGAGCAGGGAACAATGCATTCACAATTGGGTGCCACAAGCACATACTCGGCATTATGAAGATATTACCCATTCAATTCGTACTCACAATTGCTAGTTCAGGACTGACTTCGTTTTGTGTGTTCGATTGCGCATCACTTGGACTGCCGCATTCCTGCACAGGTACGCGCCCAGTCGCCGCGGCGACAGTATTGCTCGGGCTGAGCCCATCACTGGCATTGTGCACTATCCGCCCGTTTCCTTGGTCCAAAATATTGCTGTGCGGGCGACGCTGGGGTTGTAGATTGTCACCGTTCTCTCTGCCATAAACCTGCACGGTGTTTACAGCACGCACACACATGCAGACATGCACCCACCCAGATGAACGCACCCACCCAGACGCACACACACACATATGCACACACCCACACACACACACCCACACACACACTTGTACTTGTTGCTCACTGCCCAAACTGGTCACGTGGGTCTCCCCGGGAGAGGGGAGAGAGACTCAAAAGGAATCTTGGAAAGATGAATCAATTGGCTATTGAACCGCCCAACGGCAGACACCCCCTGAAATCCCCAAAGCTCTGGGTGGACTTGAAAATGATCCCACTTATGGGCTCACCACACCTCAGTAAGTGGGTGAGGACAAGGTGCACACACACACACACACACACACACACACACACACACACACACACACACACACACACACACACACACACACACACACACACACACACACACACACACACACACACACACACACACACACACACACACACACACACACACACACACACACACACACACACACACACACACACACACACACACACACACACACACACACACACACACACACACACACACACACACACACACACACACACACACACACACACACACACACACACACACACACACACACACACACACACACACACACACACACACACACACACACACACACACACACACACACACACACACACACACACACACACACACACACACACACACACACACACACACACACACACACACACACACACACACACACACACACACACACACACACACACACACACACACACACACACACACACACACACACACACACACACACACACACACACACACACACACACACACACACACACACACACACACACACACACACACACACACACACACACACACACACACACACACACACACACACACACACACACACACACACACACACACACACACACACACACACACACACACACACACACACACACACACACACACACACACACACACACACACACACACACACACACACACACACACACACACACACACACACACACACACACACACACACACACACACACACACACACACACACACACACACACACACACACACACACACACACACACACACACACACACACACACACACACACACACACACACACACACACACACACACACACACACACACACACACACACACACACACACACAGACTCTCCCTCGCTGTTGGTCGCTTGCCGTGCTTGCAAATGTGCCATTGAATTCCACCAGCAGATCGACACACACACACACACACCTTGACCTTGACATACAACTGCCGTTAAACGGCTAAGCTGCCCTTACGAGGAGGGAAACAAAGGGCTCGCATCACGGCTTTGCGGCAGAACATCCGGTCTCATGCCGCTGCAGATCCTGCTGCCTGCGATATCTCTCACCACACACACACACACACACACACACACACACACACACACACACACACACACACACACACACACACACACACACACACACACACACACACACACACACACACACACACACACACACACACACACACACACACACACACACACACACACACACACACACACACACACACACACACACACACACATTCCACCTGGATGACTTAGCTGCACTGCTGAAGCTTTACTCGCAGACAAACCTACGACAGTTTCTAAAAGTAATTTCCTTTCCAGGATCTCATAATGTTGAGTCACCTCCACCCTCTAATAATAGGATCTCATAATATATTGACGAGTCCACAAAGGACGAAACAGTTCTGTCTGCAGATTGAGTATATATATATATATATATATACTCAATCTGCGTTATATATATATATATAGAACAATAGAAGTATTTCTTGCGTCGGCAAAAAGTGCTCAATGTCCTAAGACAGAGCGGGGTTATACACTCAGACACAAAGGATCTCCAAGTTTCTCAGTGTTGCTACTCTGAGTTTCGTGCAAAAGCACTCTTCAGCAACTGAAGAGTGCTTTTGCACGAAACTCAGAGTAGCAACACTGAGAAACTTGGAGATCCTTTGTGTCTGAGTGTATATATATATATATATATGTCGCTAGCCAGTCTAGTTGGGAATCACAGGTGAAGATAAGTGTGGCAAGTGTGGTGGTGTGAGCAATCGCGTAGAAGAAATACTTCTATTGTTCTATATATATTTATATATATATGGGCCTGATTGGAAATTTTTATTTCCATTGCTATCAGGTTCGGCCTCATTTCCTCTGTGCTGCGCTGACGAGTCCACAAAGGACGAAACAGTTCTGTCCGCAGATTGAGTATTTCGCTCCTGCTCTTGTAGCAGTTGAGCACTCTTGCGTGGGGTAGTGCCTTTGCTGTTTGCGTTATGCAGAGCTCACTAACTTGTCAGTTTGAGCACTCTGGCAGGGTACGTTCGGGCCTGATTGGAAATTTTTATTTCCATTGCTATCAGGTTCGGCCTCATTTCCTCTGTGCTGCGCTGACGAGTCCACAAAGGACGAAACAGTTCTGTCCGCAGATTGAGTATTTCGCTCCTGCTCTTGTAGCAGTTGAGCACTCTTGCGTGGGGTAGTGCCTTTGCTGTTTGCGTTATGCAGAGCTCACTAACTTGTCAGTTTGAGCACTCTGGCAGGGTACGTTCGGGCCTGATTGGAAATTTTTATTTCCATTGCTATCAGGTTCGGCCTCATTTCCTCTGTGCTGCGCTGACGAGTCCACAAAGGACGAAACAGTTCTGTCCGCAGATTGAGTATTTCGCTCCTGCTCTTGTAGCAGTTGAGCACTCTTGCGTGGGGTAGTGCCTTTGCTGTTTGCGTTATGCAGAGCTCACTAACTTGTCAGTTTGAGCACTCTGGCAGGGTACGTTCGGGCCTGATTGGAAATTTTTATTTCCATTGCTATCAGGTTCGGCCTCATTTCCTCTGTGCTGCGCTGACGAGTCCACAAAGGACGAAACAGTTCTGTCCGCAGATTGAGTATAATAGAGAGGTTTTGCATTCCGAATTTCGGAATGATTTTCGACTGTGCTTTTCCGAAAAAAGCGCGTTCCGAAAAACGGTACTTTCAGTGTTTTGCATTCCGAAAATCTGATTCGACTTCGTTTCCAAGGGTTGCCATGCAAAACAAAAGGGAGAGCGTCGAAGGGGTTGAGCAGGATCAAATCCATGTGCGCAGGTCAAACTGAATTATTTGGGTGCGGTTCGAAGACGAGGACGGACTGATGGAGGACCAAGTGATCCAACAGCTGAAGACGGGGTTGGCGAACTACTGTCTTGTACTGTCAGTAGGCTTCATGGCAAAGGAAGATAGAGTGTGATGGAGTGTGAGAAGATTAGTCAACATGGCGAGATCAGCGAGAGCAGCAAAACCAGCAAAAATCAAAACTACATACATGTACGTGGAAAATTTTTCAAATAATCGAGATCAGCAGAAAGCAAAAATACAAACATGAAAAATACACTTTTTTGTATTCAAATATGCACTCCCAAACATGAAAGAGCCGAAAATCCATTTTCGGAAAACCATGCACTTTCGCCACCACACTTCCGAAAGTTCGACTACTTTTTCGACTGCTGCCGCCACATTCCGAAAATAATTCCGAAATTCGGAATGCAAAACCTCTCTATTATATTATATATTATATATATTAACTGGTTTGAGGGAAAGGGACAAACGGGAAAAGTCTGAAGAAAAAATTGACTGTCACCACCAGGACTCGAACCAGGGACCCTCGCTTGTAGCCAGCGATGCTCTAACCACTGAGCTATATATACCTTCTGTTTTTTCCTGTGTAACAAAAACCTCTGTACTGTAAAAATGAGCCATTATTCTGATGAGGCGCATAAAAAAATTCACGGTTCGCGTGAGACTCAGCTAGAGGCCGAATTTTCCGCATCCGTAGGAACGCCACCATCCTTCAAGGATCAAGGCACAGATGCAGCTCCTAAAGCGGTGGGAGGTGAGTAGATCAGCTCACAAGCATGTGGTCAAAGACCGAAAATCCCATTCACTGCATCCATGCATATTATTATAATAACGATTTCCTAAAATCGACTGGTTTACGTGTACCAAAGGCAACGATTCTCACGCAATCTCGACGCTCAATAGAACAGTATATGTATCGATTTCTGTATAACGATTTCTATTTTAACGACAGATTTCTCCTCGTTAACTCGTTAGAATTAGCACTTCGTTATGTATAATTATGGCTTTTACAGTATAATCTTGTTGCACCCTATATTATACCCGTCAATCCAAAGTTAGTATGTGCTGCTGCTGCCTTCATCTTCTTCAATTCTCTCGGGAACTTTTGACGTACAGTAAAACCTGGTGTAAGCGACCTCCGGGTTTAGCGACCACCTGCTCTTAACGACCGCCTTCCCATGCACCGGCAGTTCTACACAGCCACTGTGGGACCTGGTTCCAAAGACCACCTGGCTTTAACGACCACTTTTGCTTGCACCGTGGGGTGGTCGCTTAAACCAGGTTTTACTGTGCACTGCTAATCATACAGAAGCTATAGTTGTGTACAGTGCTATCGGGTGCCGAAGAACTGGGGTCAGGGTTCTAGCCTAGCCCGTTCTTATTTTTAGCGACCACAGCAGTTTCGTTCTTTTTCGATGGTACAGTCAGAGTCTTGCGTGTACATTTATGCAGAGTTATACGTCTGAGTGTACACCGTAGTGTACATAACGGTTTCCGTTCTTAGCTGCAAAAATCCAGCCTAGACCATTCTAATAAAAAAAATTTGGTGAAACTCTAGCCTGGCCTCTACAGTACTGTACCGTCTCTTGCTCCTCCCCCCTCCCCCTCCCCCCTCCCCCCTCCCCCCTCCCCCCTCCCCCTCCCCCCTCCCCCCTCCCCCCTCCCCCCCCCCTCCCCCTCCCCCCTCCCCCCTCCCCCTCCCCCCTCCCCCCTCCCCCCCCCCTCCCCCTCCCCCCTCCCCCCTCCCCCCTCCCCCTCCCCCCTCCCCCCCCCTCCCCCTCCCCCCTCCCCCTCCCCCTCCCCCCTCCCCCTCCCCCCTCCCCCCTCCCCCCTCCCCCCCCCCACCCCCCCCCCTCCCCCTCCCCCCCCCCTCCCCCCACCCCCCCCCCTCCCCCTCCCCCCACCCCCCCCCCCTCCCCCCCTCCCCCCCCCCGCCTTTATCTCCCTCCCATTGTCGTAGAACAATACAGTAGGGAGGTTTCGCTCTACGCAATTATGTATGAAAATTCGTATGTTGTACGCGCCGAGGAGCGAGGGCAACTTCTATAGGTAACTATCCCTACGGATTTCCGTGGAAAAGCACTTTCCTACGTTCGGTCCTCCGTCGGACTTTTTGAAATATCTTTTCGCAGTTTCGGGGTTCATCCATAGCAATGTTCAAGCCGCGCGCAACCCAAGGTACACATCACGTGGAGAACAAAATGGAGAACGTGGTTTCGGTCCGTGGTGCATGATGCGGTGGACGCATGTAACTGACACGTCTCGTACGGAACTAGGCATGCTTAGCAATCATGGGGAAATCGCGCAGAGTGAAGCGGGATTCACTGAAGCTTTTTTGCGATGCAATGGGCGATGCGACGCGATCTGCGGTGGAGGCGTGCGATGCGAACTCGCGAAATACCACTCACAGAAGAAGTCAGCGATGCGATGACGCATCGCAAAGATGTTTCTGTGAATCCCGCTTAAAATCCAACAGCACTGAATTTTACGTATGAAAATTGAGTGCAGTTCCTACGTTATTTTCGTATGTAACTAAGTAGAGTGAAACCTCCCTAACACTGTTGTTATACTCCCTATTGGTATAATGATGTAATCCTTTCGCCTCCACCATAATCGCGTCCATCTGATCCCTTGCAATTGGCCTTGTTGTCGGTTTAGAACTTTGGTCAGGAGTAACCAACTTCATCACTAAAATTTCCGGAGTATAGTGCGCACTTTAGATGTGCTATTTTAGGCCCTAAATCGCAGGTGCGCACTATGCTCCGGATATGAAATGCATGTACTTATTGAAGTGCGCATCCCCAATGAAGATTGGGGGTGCGCGTTATACAAAGGTGCGCACTATACTCCGAAAAATACGGTAGTCTTTTAAAACAGGCAATGCATCACCATCTCACCTCCGCCACTGGCTGAACCTCCCCTTGCGGTATACTGCTTTCAAGCATTACACGTTCATCGATTGGTGGCTGGCCAGAGGCTGAGGGGAGTCGGTCACCTTCCTGGGCCATGGTGAGAAGTCACACACTGTTCGATGAGTCACAGCGACTGCTAGTACGACAGGTTTTTGCGAGCTCTGCTACTGCGGACTGTTACCAGATGGGCTAGTGCGCGTGTTCTATTTGTGTAGTTGCACACTCGTACTCGTAGACAAACAATCCACGCGGTCGTCCGGCGCTTGCTGTGAATTGTGATGACTTATTTGAACGGGACGGGGCGCTAGCACTGTCGTTCTTCTCTTTGATAGCGCGGGTTGCTGCTGGCTACTTCGTTTCCAGGAAATCCACTGTCCACTCGTGATCGTAGAACCTAATAAAACCGAAGACGTTAGTATTAGTAATGATTATAAAACTGCAAAGTTTCAAGATGAACAGATGTTGTAGCAGTTACCAGGGTACTACCGGCAGTGCGCGCGCTGGTAGCTTGCGACCCTCCTTCGGTTCCGCTATTCACAGAGCGGCGTTGCGAATCAATCGATGGAGGCAGGAGCTAGGAGACGCAAACAACACGACGCGTCAACCTCAGCTTCCGTAGAGTCTACGAGTCTCCAGTTCACCTCGCAGTCCACCGGTCTACAGAATCCTCTTCAAATCGCACGGTGTGTTTGGATTCTTCCCCCAGCGTGCTTCCTGCAGCTCGCCTTTCGCTGAAATAATTAGAGATCGAGGCAAGCCGACACCTACTTGTACGTGGGCACACGTCTTCAACTGTTACTGTTCTCGTAGCGATGAAACAACACTCCAAACATTTAGTAGATCTTTCGCTAGAGTCACTTTCCACTTGCGGAAAACTGCCTACTAGTACTACTACTAGTACTAGTATCAGAAGTGGGCTACTGCTGACTTGTTCCCCCTATCTCCTGATCCCTTTACTTTGGCTAAAATGTACTTGTCAATGCAGTCAGTTGTTGGCACAGGGCCAGTATGTTAGTACACGTCTGTTCCACTTCTGGAGAACCCGTCGATCCACTACTAAACTGCCTGTACATCGGCTGATTTTCATACGGTCGTCACATCATGTCAGTGATCACTCACATCATCCATCGCCCGCGCTCAGCGCGCTGTTATGTGGTCCACTGGTCCCGGTAGATCTACGACGTAGTCATTAATTTTGTAGCTGTGCAGATTTGGCAGTAAACCATGGTAAACGATCGATGCTGGATGATGACGGGCACCGAGGGGACTTTTCCCCTGATGACTATCAGATGAGTACAGGCCAAGGGGAAGGTTATCAACGTCCCTAGTCACGCGACGTCCAGCCTGAGTGGCCAAGCTCCATCAGATAAGGAGGACCCATAACAGCATTAGCCTCCTTTCCTCCCCTTGTGGTCGTGGGGTGATGGTGTTACCAAATACATCGTAGGTCTACTAGTAGTCCCAGCTCATGCGTATTTTACATTCAAAGTCTCCTACGGTACAGGGTGTGTGTGAGAAAGAGAAATGCGTGTGTGTTTGTGCACGTGCGTCACGGTTTGTGTGTGTATTCGCGTCACTAGATAGAGGGGTATGTGTGGTGGTTGATGAAAATTTATCGTTCTCGCTTTGGTGCAGCGGAAACTGTCCTGATATGACGGAACTCCGCTTGATCCAGGGATGCACGTTCGATCCGGGGATGCACGCTCGATCTACAGCACGTTGGACTTTGGGCATGAAAATGTGTCCTGTTGATACAGGATTCCGCTTGATGCAGGATTCCGCTTGATGCAGGATTCCGCTTGGAACAGGGTCCGGCAAACACAAGTTGAACTGTAACAGTTGCATGTGAGTACTATCAAGGTTTATGTACTCTTGGTACTATGAATCCCTTCAGAGAAACGAATGAACTTGTGTGTTCAACAATCCGACTCTGTCCCTTTAAAAGGTGGCAGTTCCCCTTTTCCGTATACTACACTCTTTGGACCAGAAGTCATGAACAGCTAGGAATATCCAAACCAAACTTGGCAGTGATGTTGAGGGTGTTCATACCTACATGTAGGTTCAGAATCAGTTTTCACACATCTCACATATCTTGAAGTGCCGAACTTGCTCTCAGCCAAAATGCGTTCATATCGCACGTACAGGGCAAGGATTGAGCCAAAAGAGAACAGAGGCTAATGGTGCCCAGCAGTATAAATTTGCTCGGAACTCATGCAGACTAACAGCTCAAGGTGCTAAACTACACTAAACCTTGTAAACATATGTAGAGTGGAGCATTGTGATTTTCAGTTTTACAGATCAGAAACGCGATGTTTACAGATAATTCAGAGACATACCAGTTGGAAGAACCTCGCTGGGATATTGACAGTTCTGTTTAGTTTAGCACCTAGCAAATTTCACGTAGCTGTGAATAATGCCCAAGATTATGATTCTATGACAAGTAGTCTACGTCCTGAGATATGTTGGCTCAAACTTGTCGGAGTCCATGAAAAAGAGGATCAAATTCAGGAAAAAGTACACTCCAGTTTCACCTTTCAAAAGCCACCAGCAGCATATGTTTCTTCTTCCTTGTGCTGTGACTGATCCAGAAACCCTTTCTTCACTGCTCTGCAATGCTTACTTGCCTTTTGCTCCTCTTCTGACTACTTTCTACGCTTGTGGTACAGCTTTCCTCTTGAAAGACACCTAGATTTCTCTCCAACGACGGACTAACAGTGCATCCCATACGCTGTACTACTTCGGCAAGCTCACTGTGGTCTTCATCGAACACGATCACTGCCAGGAACACAGCAGTCTCAACAGTTGTGGAGCTACAGAACGATTCCTTTGGACAGTGGCACCGCGCAGTTCATTCATCCTGTTTCATTTCCACCTCGTACTCGTCCTCCTGCGCATCCACGTCAGTAGTGGGGCGACCCTCGTTCTCGCCCTCTGGTCATGTCATGGTAAAATTACTCGTACATGAAGGGTAATAATAACCGTTTCTGCTTGGATGAGGGCCACACCAGGCACGTGCGCCGGTGCCCTTCAAGGGGGGTGGGTTCCAGGGTGTCGTAAAATACGTATTTTACGACTCCCTGGTGGGTTCCAGGGGACGTCCCCCGGGAAAATTTTCAAAAAAATGAAGCAAAATCCTGCATTTGAGCGAAAAAAGGGGGGTTCCGGGCACCCAGAAACCCATACGCGGGGCACGCGCCTGCACACCATAGCCTAGGTTAGTAGTAGAGCATTCCTGGCTACAAGCGAGGGTTCCTGGTTCTAATCCTGGTTGTGCAACTCCCGGTACAGAAAGGCGGGCTCACGCGCCTACATGGCTACTTCGGATCCCCTTGTCTAACCTCCAAGACGAAAATTAATGATAGTAGCCGACTGGCCGAAATTTAAAAAAAGAAAAGAGATATCCTGGTGGTGACAGCCAGTTTTGTCTTTGGACCTTTTCTGTTTGTATCTATCCCTCAACCCCATGAACATGACTGCACTCTGTAAGACTGTAGTGCCAGTAAGCATGGTAAGAGACGTCTAGATCTGTGGTTGAAAAGGCGCGGAGTTTGAACGCGTCTATCTCGTGAAAAACCCATCCATACCGGCTGTGGCATGGCAGACAGTCTGTGTCACTTTGCAGCGACTGTCGATTGTCGATGGTCTCTGAGGTGCTAAATGCTCAGCGCTCACCAATCAGTCCAGTCATGTGGTGGCTTACATATCGGACTACTTTGTAATGTCAGAGCCAGGGTCAGAGCTCCTACCCGCGCCGATGATCAGGCAAACGTATGGTGGAAGGTCGCACGCTTTTGCTGTTGCTTGTGCGGTTTTGCTGTTTATCGCAGTTAGCGAACGGGGCCGGGCGCTCTGTCACTGTGTATGTGTGAGGTAAGCGAACGTTAGCACGTCAGGACGACGAAGCATCGGGTGTTCAACTACTTCGCCAGCTCCGCTCGCTGATCGGTGATTTCATGAAATCTCCACAGACGTGCAGACGTGTCAGTTTCCCTGAGTTGGTTTCAGCGCTTTTTATAGCCCTTCAGGACAGAACCGGTGACCGTCCCTTCAAGACAGTCGCGTCTTCTTTGCAGTCAAGCCATTCATTTGCGGGCGGCAGTTTGGAATCTTTTCCCGTTCCCTAGTAATAGCAGGAGACGCTGGAGTATCAACTATTACTTTGCTTTCCAGCCGCAGTCTGAGTAAACTGTGACTGCTTTTGCCTAGTAGTTTTGGAGAACGACGACCATTCAAATTACGGGGCATTTTATAGCCAGCCCATCTGCGTTGGAAACATTCGAAGCTCGAGCTCTGCGGCCAAGTACTAAGTGGAGACAGTGTGACTCCGTTGTGACGATATAGCCAGGGCGACCATGAGCCAAGTGACGTCGCTCAAGTCCAGGGCTCTGAGTAGCGTGGTCAAGCAGCTGGACCGCTATCTGCAAGCAGTGCCGGAGCTGCCGTTCACCGTCCGCGCAGACCTGCTGCGTCTGGCGTGCAAGCGAGGGCTAATACGAGACGATAACTTGCCACAGGTAATGACTACTAGTATAAGTAAAAGTAAACTCGGACGTCTATTATCCGGGCGCCTTGGGACCGGGCACCGCCCGTATCTCAGATATCTCAGGATAACTCATCTACCCTGTATCATTATCATTCATTTTTTTTAAGCAGTATATTTGGCACGTATTGCACACAGTCATGTTCAGATTCCAGAAAGAATCCATTGATAAAAAAGTGTGGATTTCACAGGTTGGCGGTGACAAAAAAGTACTTGCACATACGAAAAAAAAAGTTCGAACCCCCAAATTCCAAGCATTTTTGCCATAGGAACTCAAGCTGAAGGCGCCTGGTAGAGAGAGGTGCCCGCATCTGAGGCGTCAGGATAAGAGACGTTTGAGTGTAATAATATGCGAGCCTTGTGGGAAAGTAATATCCCGGCCTGGTCAAAAGAGCACACACTGAGACACGGTGTAAGTTGGGGGAAGGGGGGATGAACTGGTGTTTGAACCCCTCAAGTTTTCACACTGCAGTATCCCCCCCCCCCCCCCCTAAAAACTTCGACCTAGTTAGCATGCACATAATGACCATGAATGACATGCACCAGCCATCCTACACATGTGTTATTGTATGCGGCCGTGCACAAGAAAAAAAGGGGGGACCAGCTACGTTCCTGAAGAGGTTGTTGTGAACTACGTTGTAGGTACATGTAAGGAGGTGAGTCAATGGAACCGCTTATGCCATGGGCACTATGTCGCTAGTACACGTACATCGCTGTGCCACGACTTCGCCACAGCATCTCGGCTGATGATGGAATCGCGTGACCAAACCATAGGCATAGAGCCGTTGCAGGTCTCCATGTACATGGCATTGTATACCGTGACCTTATGTCTGATACGGGTCTGTCATGTTGGTTCCAGTCTGGGGAATAAGCACAGTAGAAGATGGTCCGGAAAGTAGAGAAAAGAAAAGAGTGAAGATTGTTTTTAACGAAAACATAACTTTATCAATCCAAGTGTCCCTATCTAACCAGCTTGAGTCTGAATTAGCTGTTATAAGCTATGGGATATTGCAAGGCATGCGATTTGGAATCCAAATTCCCGTGACGTTGTGGTTCAGGTGGGGCTTCCCGGTGTTTTCCCACGTTCTGTACTATTGCTATGCAGTTGCTGACCGACGGCAGCATGACACTGGACTTCAGTCACTCTGATGCTGTGGGCGACGCAGCGCTGGTACTGGTGGCGGCCAAGTGTCCCTATCTAACCAGCTTGAATCTGAACTGGACAGTCAGGGCACAGGACCTCTCCACAGATGGCGTAACCGACGAAGGTATGGTGAGCTGCTGTCCGAGGTTGATGCTAGCGTTGCCTATCTGCGTCCCGTGCCCCCCCCCCTACCCCTCTCCCTACTTCTTATTGAAATTTAGTTGTTTTCTAGTTAGGTTGCAGAAATATTCACCGTGTCAAGCTTGCAAGCCCTGCTGGCAAATGAGGTGCTGCAAGTATATACTTTGATAATACTCAAATCTGTGGACAGCAACTCAGCACAGCTCAGAGGACCGAAGCGCAGCTCTTCGCAATGAAATACGTTTCCGTGAAGCAAAGCATTTTTATAAAGACCTGCAAACCCCACCAAGAGTGCTCGAATACTTTGATAATATGTTGGTGCATTTTGACAATTAACATGCATTATGGCCTCTGTTGCAAACGTATTGAAAAGGTCTCCGTTGAACGTTGTGCGATCTCGTCGCGACTTCGGCTCCTTGCCTGTTTCCTGGCTAGCTGCATGCTGTTGATTTAGTAAAATTGATTCTTTCTCTCTCCTTTCTCTCTCCTTTCTCTCTCCTTTCTCTCTCCTTTCTCTCTCCTTTCTCTCTCCTTTCTCTCTCCTTTCTCTCTCTCTCTCTCTCTCTCTCTCTCTCTCTCTCTCTCTCTCTCTCTCTCTCTCTCTCTCTCTCTCTCTCTCTCTCTCTCTCGCTCTCGCTCTCTCTCTCGCTCTCTCTCTCGCTCTTTCTCTCGCTCTCTCTCTCTTGCTCTCTTTCTGTCGCTGTCTCTGTCTCTCTTGCTCTCTTTCTGTCTCTGTCTCTCTCTCTCTCTGTCTCTCTGTCTCTCTCTCTCTCTCTCTCTCTCTCTCTCTCTCTCTCTCTCTCTCTCTCTCCCTCTCTCTCTCTCTCCCTCTCTCTCTCTCCCTCTCTCTCTCTCTCTCTCTCTCTCTCTCTCTCTCTCTCTCTCTCTCTCTCCCTTTCTCATGCAGGTATACATGCCCTAGCCAAGTCCTGTCCAAACCTGCAATGGCTGCTGTGTCGCAATCGGGGAAACATCACAAGCAGCTCTGTGATAGCCATCACCAAGAGATGTCAGCTGTTGCGCACATTGGACCTTGGTGGATGTATTATCGATGATTCATTGCTGACAGCAGTGGCGGAGAATTGCCATTCCCTGAAAAGCATCAATTTGTCCTTTACATCAGTGAGTACAACCTGCTGAAGATGTACTTCCTCCGCGTCATTAAAATTGTCGCTTCCCAGAGCGATTTTTCGAATTTATTTTGTCCACTCGAAGGGCAAAGAAATCAGCTAAAAATTGAGGCAGAGCATTGTCGACGGACCAAGCTTTAGTTTGTGGCCTCCCGCTTCGCCGCACTTGCAGCTAAGGTCGACGTCTTCATCAGAGTTTGAGGCAGACCCTTCAGCACTCAAGAATACGCTGAAGAAGACGCGCGTTCAAATTCAGGTCAAGAAACTTCGTTTTCAAGCGATCCATGCCTCTAGGTGGCAGGCGATGAAGGCAAGCTAGCATTTTTCAAGTACACTGTAACAACCTTCCAGCCTTCCAGCGGGATAGGGTAAGCAGTTCCGCACCTTCTTTCCTTGGCAAGCGCTTCGCTGATTTTGTCGGTGTTTTCAGACCTGCTGCCTGCGCAGCAACATGAGCCACAAGCAGCGCATTTTAGGAATTTGAGAACACTTTGTTCTTGCCATCATCAACTTCAGCATTTCGTACTCATGAGAGATACCAGGATTCTTATACCCGAGCTTGCAGTCTTGATAAATGCCCACTCGAACAATGTGGGACGGCACGAACTCCAGAAAACGAAATGCCTCTGGGGCGGAATAGTGCGGAGCGCGATGAATTTGCTTGGTGCGGAAGAGAGCTCCGACAAAGTCCGAGACCACCACGGCTTCAGTAACAAGTAGACATTGCGCAGGAAGGGTCGCACCAGTGTTCGAACACAGAAAACAGCGATTCCGACAGTCTGACTAAGACGAGCCAAGTTAATATTGCGATGTGCGAAGCGACAATTTTAATGACGCGGAGGAAGTATCTCTAGCACATCTATTTCTATAATATCATATCAGTGTGCCTCTTTTCATCTCCATCGATCTACCTCTTTGACTGCTTTGTGGTTGGTCTGATCTACTCACCTCCCATCTCCCACCACTTAGAAGCTGCATCAGCACCTTGATCCAAGAGGGTGGTGGCGTTTCTACGGATGCGGAAAACTGGGCCTTTGGCCGAGTCTCACGCAAACCGTGATTTTTTTAAGTCTGCCTTTTCCCTTTTCTTCTTCTTCGTCTCTCTCGCTCGCTTACTCTTTGTCTCTGTCTCTGCCTCTGTGTGTGTGTCTCTCTCTCTCTGCCTCTCTGTCTCTGTCTGCCTGTGTGTTGTCATTATGGATATCAAGCTTTCCCGAACTGTCTGTCTCTCTGTCTCGCTGTTTCTCTGTCTCTTTATCTCCGTCTCTTTCTGCCGATACATTTTCTGCATATCACCATGCCCAGTGCTACATAGGATGGGCTGATGGTGCTTTTCGTCGAATTGAAAATTGAATTTGACTTCTACCTATTCTATGCCAGGTTACAAGCAAAGGATTCGCGTCGTTATGCCACACCGAGTCGGCTTGCTTCCGAACTCTTGAGGTGAGTTTATCGGTCTGTGACTATGGTCCAAAAATGAAAACCACTTTAGAATGCAGCATACATCTACATGTGTCTACTGCCTATTAATTTTGAGGCACAGGCTGCACAGCGTTCATGGTAATAGCATTGCAGAAAACTTCTGTGGGTGTATGTGCTTGCTGTAAGACCAGATATTTTTTACGTCAATTAAAGTTAACGATCTCCGGATTTTTGTGGGTTAGCGAGGTGAAATTCTGATGAATTCCGTATCAAAACCGGCCATGTTCATATCTGTTTTCTACATAAGGGGCCGTCCGGGGTTACCGATTGTTTTTACAAAACGAAAAGTTTTAGTATTTTTCAGCCCCCACCCACCCACCCACCTTTTCTGCAGGTAAAACGAATTCCAATAAAATATTGATGTCAATTTTCGACACCCAGAAGTAACTGGGCATTCTCCATCAGCATTCAATAATTATTTTCAAAACGAAACTCCATCAAACCCACCCACCCACAAACGAAAACATTTCGTTTTGAAAGTATTATTGGTAACCTTGGACGGCCCCTAACGACTTCAAATGTCAACGAAATTTTAAATTCTTTAAATCGTTATAATTAAATGTTCATTAACATTGGTCTTACAGTGTGGTCGGAGCTTAATAACGTTGTGTAGCTAAATATCTTGCTCTTGCTTGTTCATTTTATCTGATGCCACAATTGTAGGAAATCCATGCCACGAACTGTGCACAAATCTGCGATGACGCCATCCAATGTGCTGCTCGCTTGCCCAGCCTGAGCATCTTGATTTTTCACAACTGCCGCCTGGTGACGGAAGCGTCTCGGCTCCATCTCGACGACATACTGCAGAGACAGCAGGGGCGTGCGCGTCGCGAGAGGAGACCGGGTGCCAAGCCACGCCCGGTGCAGATGAGCTGGACGGTGTACTAACTCGGCATGCCAGCATGCTAGCAGTGATGCGCGAGTCGTGAAGCGAGTGCATGAAGCGAGTACATGTATGTAGTGCAGATGACCTGGACGGTGTACTGACTCAGTGCTCCAGCATGCTAGCAGTGATGCACGAGTCGTCAAGCGAGTGTGTCACGCGAGTGTTTACCAAGTTAAGATTACTAGAACATGTGAGTGCGGTCACCATACACACGTGATCAGTCAGAGTGGCCGACACTCGTGTTGCGCTCGTTTTTGGAATCCGGGCTACTCCCAGGCTCCAACAACCATGTTCTGTACCGATTCTGTAACTGCTGTGATACCTTTGACAAGGTTTGACTTTAGGTAATCTGGATACATGTACTTGTATCCTCTTGTTCTTTTATGGAAGATTCAGAGCTTCAAAAACCTGGAGGGAAAAGCAGAAAAGGGAGCACATTGAAAAGTTTTAAATTTGAAAATCATGATTAAATTTTGTGAAAGTCTGCTAACTAATTACTTGCTAAGCCTCTGGCTATAGTAGTTGTTTAGTTAGCACTCAATATGAGTGCTCGAAATGGTTTATAATAGCTAGTCTCTCATTCTATCGATGTTATGTTATGTTACCTTTATTTTACTTCACCATCGATGAATGTATCGATGAATTTTTTCTGACACTGTGGTAATGATCTTGTCACTGTTTTTTTTATAAACAATACATGCATGTACATGTACATGTACATAACTTGTATAACATGACAGCTCTTGATATAGTCCAATGCTTCACTAGTGTTTCTTATTGGCCTTTTGCCTGCTGGGCATGCACGGACATTCAATTGTGCCTGACAAGGATATTTTAGATCATTCTGTTCTGAAACCATCATTTTCCTTGATCTGCAAATCAGGGAGTTGTATTTTACTGCTCCCTGCTGCAAATTGATGATTTCTGCGTGGATAGCTGCAAGATTTGATCCGGAGAGGAAAGCCCACTCAGTGTTCTTGGGCGGCTGTTAGAACTAACTAACCCCTGCAAACATTCCCGTAGCTTCTCGTCGCAATGCATGGCCCGCCATTCCAGGGAGATGGGATACTAGTGCTGGAGGAAAATAGAGATATTCCTAATATAACCCCATACCCCCGGGGGCCGTTTTGACTCCAACTTGACCCAGAAATGAGGAATGCCTCCACGGTCGGTGTGACTACTACTGTACTATTTTAGTATTCACTTTGTCCTGGAGGGGGGGGGGGGGTTAGACATGGGGAAGTTGCCATACTGGGGTGTGAGCCCGCCTTTCGGCACCATAGACGTGCGTTATCAGCACATTCTCCTCAGCCTGCATTTGACCGGCGTGGCAGAGATAGGCTTACAAGGTGTTCAAGGTTACCTTACCACCTCATTAGACACCCTTAGCAAAAAACGTTATGTTGTAACGGTATTATCGTAAGGGGGAAAATACCGTGATTTGGGTTCGACCTTTGGCAAGATGCACGCTATTTTTAGTACGCTGTTGCCACGAGAATAGCTTTGATTTCGCGCGGTACAACCATTTTTTCATCATATACGCGATACAAGGTGAAATGCGTACGGACTATGCAGTATTTGGCTAAAACACGTACCGTTGGTCACAACGATAAATCAGCCCCCATACCGTTTATATGCTGCAGCTTCAACGCTATTTGGGTGATCAAGGTACGAGTACCGTAAAAAAATAGCGTTACCGTTGTTTGCTAAGGGTGTCTATTCCTACGAAAGTCGATTCGCGGGCTATTCCTGGTCAGCCATGGCTAGCCGAGGTCAGGATAACGCCATAGGCTGACGATGGAAACACGCTAATACAGTACATTGTACTGTTGCCGGGTCTCGCTGAAGTCCCGGATGACTGTGTCCAGGGGCCCGGTCGTCTGCTTGAGATGCGGGCGGCAGAAACCCAAACCATGATTACCAGAAACCATGTACTAGTAGTCGCACCCTACGTCTTGCTGACGCCCGTCGTCTACATGACATGTAAATGCACCTGTATACAGCAGTGTTTTGTTACTGGTGTTGTAATTCAAACTGTCAGGCTTGCGCTGCATGGCCACGGTATGCGCGGACTTGGGACAGTTGAAGCAGCGCCCTACCCTCTCATACTCACACTGCGGAACTGCCGCAGCTGAGATGGCGTTGGTCGTGTGTCCTGCTACCTTGGCAATCCCTGCGGTCCAGCGTGATGTCTGATGATGATGATGATGATGATGATGGTGGTGGTGATGGTGATGGTTGTTTCGTTCACACGTCCTAGCGGGAGTTCCTTCCCAACACCAAGGTAGCGAAGAGAGGACTAGTGTTATAGAGAGGGAAGAGTTGTAGGTGAAATGTGTCTGAGCTTGTTCTGCAAGGATGGTAGGAAATGAACTTCTCGACATCAAATCGGTCGGTTACACTCCATGTTTTCGGTTTTCCAACAGGGTTCCTTTCCCGCGCAGCTCGATCTGTAACATATTCAGTTACCTTCGGGGACTTCTTTCAGTTGTGATACTTTTCTCCTCCCCTCCCCACTACTATTATTATTAAATTTGTCATGTCGCTCACATGTATGAAAGGAGGCGACATCGCCTGTTTGTGTTGCGACTTTACGGATAAATTTCAACAACAATAACTTACTTGAATTGGATCCTCTCACATAACCAGTATACCCGCCGGTTGCTGCGCTGACGCGATGGCCACCCTCAGCACTTGTGCTCTCAGATTGCAGACCAAGTATTGGACACACAGGAGAGCTCGGGAAGGAGATGCTCACCCAGCTCAGGAAAACTAAACATCTGTTACTAAACTCCTCCAGGCTTTCCAGCTGGCATGTTGTAGACCGATGCGGTGGGCTTGTTCACAAGCGAATAGAGGACCGTACACTTCTACATGTTGTCTGTTATCTTGTGCTAAGTGCAGCCAGTCCGATATTGCCTTCGTTGGACTAGAGATAAGATGAGTTGAGGCATAGTCGAACATTACCGCCTAGAAAACTACTTGCTTCTTCGACTTGTAGATCTACTAGTACTTAGTTCTAGTACGAGCGACCGCGGCCAAGCTGCCAGGTTTACGGACCGGTGGTGATAACAACTCTGGTGCCTGGTGGGCCTGTTCCGCTTGGGTATTCCCGCTTGGAAGTACCGGACCAGACACGTCGTTCACCGATGACTGATGAGTGGACGAACCTGGCGGCGAATCTCACGACCTGCACTCCATAGACCAGCGGCCGGGGCAGCGAATAGATCAGCCATCCTCTGCTACCCAATGACAGTATGCAACACGTGTCGGAAGAAAAGAGGATGTACGTGAACTATAGCCAGTGTTCATAAAGGATTGCTAGGGTGACAGCGAAAGGATGTTGCAATAGGTAGCGCAAGCAGTGTAGCTGGGATGGTGTGAATAGTATTGAGTGTGAGGTACATGTATGTGAATAATGTGATAGATGTACATGCATGTGTATGATGAGCAGGGTGAAGTAATGAGAATGGGTCGGAAACTAAGCGATTGGGAAACTGTTGACTGAGCTGAGCTGTGATTCCTGATGCCTGGTAATGAAATTTGCAACTTGCCTTGCTACTAAGTACGTCTCCTGAACTCTTAGTCTTACAGCCTAGCCTGACACACTGATGTGTGTGATTGATACCTGACTCGGTGACTACAGCACAAGGGCGACGGGTTAGGTAGATCTACCACCACGGAGTGCCTCTTTCAGGCTCTCTAGTCAAAGACGAAGTTGTAAAAGTAGTTGCCTGATGATTGCGAGAGCATGAAACATGAAGTAGCAGCAAACAAACCTTGATTGTCCTTGTTGTTCTGTTCTGTATTACGCTCTGCCTCCGTGGTGTCGAGGACTGTCAGCACGCTCGGTGCCTCCTCCGGTAAAAGTAGTTGTGTATAGGCATGGGCGGGTAATGCTAGCATTATGGCTGGCATTATAGTCCCTTTTTCCAGGTGGCATAATGCTGGCATTATACCACCATTTCGCATGCAAAATTGGCATTACAAGCATAATAGCTGGTCGACAACGGTGTCATGCATGAAGCTGGCTAGGTTCAGTTCCGAAAATCGTGCATCTGAACTCGTCCGGCTTCGTCCAGAGACTTGACGTTGCAAACCAATCTTCTCAGTGGATTGTCGGTGGAAGCTTTCTCACTGCTGTTTAAGTTTTTTTCTTCTACGCTTTGGGCTTGATCCAAGACGGCCTTCTTAAATCGACTTTTCCAACTTTCAAACCGGCATTATGGAGTAGTGTGAGTATTATAGCCTCGTACATGTATTACGAGCATTGCCTTTAGCATTATCGCAGCAAATAACTAGCATCACCCGCCCATGCCATGACATAGTTGTGTAAGTCCTGTCGTTGTGCGGCGACTCCGGCCAGTGTCGGGAAGACCTACAAAGCCCTGTCAAAGGCCACATGTAGCTGTTCACTGCGCTTTCATCGCCATCACCATATCACTGGTATGAGAATGCCGCAAGGTGGCATTCCCATAGCGACGATCGGTCATGTGCCAGACATCATGAGGACGACTTATCTTTGAAGTTTGACACAGTGATAGCCGTGGTCGTGCAACATGCTGTCAATCTGCCATTCTCGGTATACTAACTGTACACAATCTCCGGACAGCTACAATTATTTTGTAGATATTTTAGATCTCGTCAGCGGAGCTCCGAGTTACAACATACTGTAGAATCATGATTGTACATTCTGACATGTCACATGACAATCGACATGGCAACAGCGAATCCTAGCGCGACTTGCCGTGCTTTGAATCAGCCACTGAAGACCTGTGAGCGCTTGCAGGTCTCCGATTTTCCAATCGGAGCACGCCCAGGCGTGCTCCGATTGCACATCAGAGGCTCCGCTCCATGTAACACTGTAGTGGCCCTACATTTTTACTGCATAAATAACCAGTTTTCAAAGCTTTTTTTTTCTTTTTTTCTTTCGTTCCTACACCATAACACGCATGCTCGGCCAGTCCTTCCTCGGCCTTGTTTTTACTGCATTTTCTGCGTAGTTTGCATTGCATGCCTCTTCGAGTTTTTCCAAAATATCTCCACGATGGACGCTGTTTTGGATTTGCTGCATACCCTGGCGCAGCCAGAGGTACAATCTGCCATCGCGGCATCCGCCCACTCCCGCGGAAAACAAATAGGAGACACCGTTTCGGGGAACGGTATACAAATTTCCTCAAATTCCGCACCCACGGGCGGATTAGAAACTGGTCGTGGCACCACCGCAGCCTCTGGCGGTCAAGAAATGGAGGAGGCTCGGAACTCTTCCAACAGGGAAGGGAACCAGGATGACTCTCGGGTAGACGGCGGGGAGCCTTTTCGTTTTGTCTCATTGGCCGAACGTCGTTCGGCAAGCCTCGGTTTTTCCACGGACCGCCATTCCAGCAATGGCGGCCGGGGCCATATTAGGGGTGACGTCACTGACGTATCTGGGTCACGTGATTTACGTACAGATAGATCTAGATCATGCTCACGGGACAGATCTCCACCCCACTCACGATCTCCCCCTCGTTATCGTTCTGCTTCATGATAATTCATGTGAACGACGTACACGTACTCGCCATAGATCGGCGGGTGCTACACGTACACGTAGATCTAGATCTAGATCTCAATCTGCGGACAGATGTCGGTCAGGGTCACGCTCGGGTGCTACGCACGAGTCCCGCCTGAGTGCCCGGGGACGACATGGCCATGGGCATGGGTCACCCAGACGGCGCGAGTCGCACCGTTTCACCAGGCACCGAGATAGTTCTGGCACTAGTTCTAGCTCTGGTACGTCAGAATCTGACGATAGTGACTCCGACAGTCCTAGTGGCACATGTCCGTCATCCGACGACTCGGCTGCCCAAGAGCATCGCCGTGGTAGCGGCGCGGGCTTCGATCCTAAGGGGTTAGTGGACGACTCTGTATGGTCTCCC